TGGCGCCTCCTGTCCACCGACATCAACGCGGCCAAGAAGATCGTCATGGGCGAGAAGCCCGCCATCACGGCCGAGTCGGAGCGCCTCGACCCCGCGACCCTCGAGGAGATGTGCCTCAACGTCGGCACGCTCGCCACCGTGTACCTCAAGCCGGTGCAGACCGTCTTCCGCTCCGCCCGCCCGCGCAAGCTCATCGACTCGCCCGCGCTGCAGAAGCACCTCCTCCCGACGTCGATCGAGAACCAGAAGAGCCTCAGCATGCTCGGCATGGGCGGCCAGGCGCAGGACATCAACATGCACAGCCAACACGTCAACAACGCCGCTGCGGGCGGCGTCGATGCCAACGGCAACCTCGCCCAGGCCGTCAGCGACGCAGACGCCTACTTCTCCAGCATCGGCCCGCAGCAGATGGCGGCGATGCGGATCGACCAGGGCGACGCGTTCGGGGACACGTCGGGCTACGAGACGGGGTACGTGGTTAACCAGCACGCGCCGCAACAGATTGTGCAGCCGGCGCAGGGAGGCAACGGGGACCTGCTTGTGCTGTGAGAGCAAAGGGGTAACAGGTAGTAGTAGTTTTGATGGGGTTGCTGAGCGGACGAGCGTAATGTGTGGGAAGTTTCTGTACGCAGATTATATTTGATATCCTCGTCGGTAATGGCAGAGACACTATTCTTGGATTCATTCGATTTTCACTTTATTGCTTCAACATCGCGATGATGGGGAGTCTGAGTAGGTCAAGTACGGTGTCACTACTGGCTTGGACTGCAATGTTTTACAGGCTGCCTGAATTCGCGGGGTAGTTGGTTCTTCCAAGGTTCGCGATTGCAGATTAGTGCCATCACGCTCTCAAAGGAAGTTCAGACAAAGGAAACGCAAAGATGTCTCGAGAGCGGGCGTACGGGAGGTTTGTTGCTTTTGTTAGAGTGGCGGGATCGCGGGAAGTCTATTCGAATAGGTCCAAGATTTTTGGGGACCTAGATCTTAGCCTCGAGCCAAAAAGAGAGGGGGGGAAAGGGTTCTGGTTTGGCGTAGAGGCGGAATTTGGGGCGACATCTCCGGACGGGGCAACTGGCAGAGTGCAGCTGAAGTGGCACCAGTCTTCAGGGTGATATACGGATGGATAGACTCTGACTGCCTTACTAATATCATGAGTGAGGGCAGATGGATGGTGTATTGTACGTATACTTGGCTTGGCGTTTTCGCAATCGGGTGGGGGAGAAAGGTGGATTCCCCCGCGATTTGTGCGAAGGAGCCAGTAACGTGGAGAGGGCGCCGAGAGAGGGGGAGGATCGGTGGTGTTTCTCGGCTTTGTGGTGGTCTGGGGTAGGAATATTTTTGGGGATTTTGAGGCACGGGGATGAGACCGGGGGGAGTTTGTAGTGCGCCCGGTCTGTGGGGGATTTGACATTGTCTTCACGTCACAGGCTCCCTCGACGAGTCCTCGACGAGGTACTTGATGGGGGATATCTCGAAGAAGCAGGCGACTCGAGGTAGGGTATCGGAATGGCAGCGTCCATCGCTCGCCGTTCCGCACTTCAGTTAAAGGCAGGTCGGTGAGTAACGAGGAGGACGAGGGAGGCGATTGGCGGGCTGGGTGACTAGCTCGCGAAACGGGCTGGAACTCGGGCGCCCTTTCCGTTGGAGCCGTGGATGGAGCTAGTCCCAGTGTCCGGGCGGTTGAAGGAAGCTGAGTTCTTGGACCGGCATCTTGTTGGCGGCTGGATGCGTTTAGGTCTAAGATCGTGGCTTTTGGGCTGTGTCTTGCCCTCTTTTGACATTTTGATCCTTTCGGAGTGTGGGGTTCTGTGATGGTCGGCTCAGCTCGCGGTGTTCTCGACTCTGCTACGGGGTGTGTATTGTTTGCTGCTGCTGTTGCTTGACATTCTGCGGCTGTTCTGTGACTTGGATCAGGTCGAATCCTTCAAGTCCTTCATTATGCCGTTTACACCGGAGGTTGCCGATGTTGAGGCTGTGAACTGATGAGAGCAGCGGTAGGCCGAAAGGGAAAGGATAGAGACTCCAGAGCCGCATGGGCGCTCGAGCTTGCGGCTTCTATTTCTGCAGATGTCGTGAGGAACATGGGGCTTGAGCGTGGGATTCCTTCCCGTCCTGCGTAGATCAAGCGAATGAGCCTCCGTGCTGCGGCGTAAGGTGGTGAGGGTTGAGTATGAGTTTGGTCGTTCCTGGACTTGTCCCATGTTCAGAAACAGAGACAGAGACGGCGCACTGGCGTTGACGAAGAAAACAAGCATAGCGGTGACGCCTCGGGGTCTGTCTGCTGCGGCTCTCTTTCGAGCGTCTGAGTACAGTACCGAGCTGTGTTTCCCACACGCGTATGGAGGAGGACTGAAACAACTCGTGTCGTTTTTCCTGGCCCACGTTTCCAGCGTGCCCGATTGCATTTGGATTCGGGATGGACGCCGAGGGAGGATTTGGGATGCCCAGACACTTGGCCAGGGTGGTGAAGCTGGATGTTCCCTGAAAAATAAGAGAACCGACGGGGCACGACCTGACCTGAGGGGTGCCGGTGAACAAGTACGTACCCTGTTTGGTGAGCGACCTAGCGAGTGCGGTGTCGTGCCTGGCTGAGCGAGTGAGGCAATTCCGTCGAGGCTGGGCTGGACTGGCATTGACGCCGCGGATGAGTTGCCCGCGCTTCGTGCCGTGTTTTCCATTTGATCCTTCCCTCAATCGACGTTCCATTGAAAGGCAGCTGGGCTGATCTCAGAGTGCATCATACAGTGCCACAGTGCGTGCGCTGGAAGTGTGTCATGTCGAGAGAGATAGCGGCCCTTCTGATGGCGGGGGCTAGCCGCGACCGCCGGGTGTTGGTGCTTGCCAAAATCCGATAGCGCCCCCTACCCCACCAGCCCAACCTTGGAAGGCGCTAGACTGGAGCAGGCCTAGCGGGAGAAATACAGTGCGACTGCCCCCATGGGTTTTCGGTTTTCGCACCTCGCATGTCGGCTGCAGGACGTGCTGTGGAAGCACCCGATCCGATAGGCAAAGGGGACGACGGGACCTGGGACAGCCTCTGGAGTCTGGAGAAGGAGGGGGAACGGCCGATGGATTGATGGGGGAGGAGCAGAGCTGGGTGGATCCTTCTCTTGAGAGGTGAGGCCCCAGTGAGGTGCTTCACTCCCTCAGTGACTTCCACTCTCGGTGAAGTGCTGCAGCAGATGGAAGCAAGCAGGACCCTTCCCGCTGTTCCTTCAGAAGCCAGAATATTGGTTCATAGAGCCCAGCGTGTGCCTGGAAGTGGGCAGTGGCTTTCTGTTTCTTCGAAAAGACAATTGCCTTCAAAGGAGTCGCCGCCATCCTGGACCCTGCGTCTGCAATGGAGGACCGTTTCTCGATGCAAACCGAGGAAGAATAGGGGAACAGCAGCAGTAGCACCATTACTGCACCCATCACCGGCCTCGTTTCTCAGCAACCCAGCCCCTTGAACGCTGGCTGCATCATTGTCTCATTGCCATAAATCAGCTCGGCCACTCATCTCGTTTGTTGACACAAAAAGGGCAACGGCAGCGTGTACTAAAAACGACGCTGCTATACTTTGCAGAGGACCGAGTTACCGACATTTGGATTTTCGACACTGGACCATAGACCGAAGCCCGTGATTCCGGCTTGACATCCTCAACGCTTGACCGATCGTTGGCCGCTTCGCTGCCGGCTTCCGCCGCGACCGCCGACCGATATCCTACTTGGGTCTGCTAGGGGCACCATCTGCTGGGCTGGCAGGCTGGTTGTCAAGCTGGACCTACAAGACGAAACAGGCTGCACGACTCGAAGACGCCGTGCCTGCGCCGTAATCCGATCTGCCTGGGAATTCAACGGGAAGACAAACGGGACCACCGCCTGCTTCTCATCACGGCATTACCCTGTCTCGTGTCTTGGGCTTACCTTACCGCCATGTTGGCTGGGGCACCTTGGAGCGAAGCAGAAAGGTACAAGGCGCATAATCAACACCCGCAGTGCTACCAGAGCCACGCGGCGGCGTCTCTGTTTCCATGTTCGTGTCCAGCGGGCCAAATGATGTGATGCAATTCAGAAAAGGGAAATCAGGAAATAAACGGACGACGATGGAGGGGATGGTGTCAGTGACAGAGACGAGCAAGGAAGGAATCGCGATTGCAGGTACCTACCTACGAAGAAGGGTAGGCACGTAGTCAGCATAACCGTATCTGAGTTGCCGGGTACCTCTACTGCAGCATGAGGTTCGCCTCCCAGGTTCACATCCCTCTCTCTCGCACTCCTAAACTGACTGGACCTGACCCAGCACAACGGACTTATTGCCGAACGGCTGCCCGGGCACCCATCTGGGCACCGCACCGCACCGCACCAGCACCCGACCCTCCTACCTACACTGTGACCTGGACCTGACGGTAGTGAGGTGCTGCTCCCAGTCCACTCCAGTCCCAGCCTGTGAGGTCCGCCAGCCCAGCCCAGCCAGCCCAGCCCAGGGCACCCAGCAGACAGCGCCCAGCCCGTCCGTCAACCTCCCGTCTCCAACAATCCGACCCCCATAACATCCCGTCCTTCCTTTTTCCCACATTGCTGGATGGTTGGAACTTGACTTGGGTCCGCCTTCCGCTTCACAAACCCCCCATCCTGGCAACTGCCAACCAACTGGTAGTAGTAGTAGCACCTTCCAATCCGTCTCACTCGACGACATCTCTACCAATTTCCTACCTCACCTCACCTCACCTCAATCCTCGCCGACATTCCCGATCGCAACCCCCGTCGCGCCTCCCGCATGAATTGAGCAATTGCGTCGCCTCTTCCCCCATCGCCGCCCTGCCGCTCCTCACCACCGCCGCAGCCGCCGTCGCCTGTCGCCCGTCGCCCGTCGCCGTCGGTCTGCCCCAGCACCAACGAGGCCGCAGTCCCGTCCCCCTTTGCAAGGCACGACGACCTGCTGTTCGACCCCTAAAAAAACATCGCCATCGACATCGACTTCAGTAATGTCCGATACCAAACCATCCGATACCGCCAACATGACTGGAGGACAAGCACCCCCCAAGGACGGCGACGCCTCTCTGGCCCAGCCCAGGGACGCCGTTCCCATGACGAACCTGTCAACAGACGATGCCGCCGCAAACACATCCAAGGCCGCGGCCACCTCATCACACCCAGAACCCAACACCGCGACGGGGGCCGATGATTCTATCGAACCCTCGGCCAAGGGGAAGGAGAAGGAGTCCGGCAACACAGCGCAGCCTGCGGCCCAGAGCCAAGACGACTCCTTGGCAATTGGTCCCTCGGTCGATGACGTCCAGCCCATCACCGTCTCACCAACCGACGGCCCCGTCTGCAACATCACGCTCCTGTTAACAACCGGCGCGAGACACCCCTACAAGTTGGACGAGAAGTACCTGACAAAGAGGAACGTCAATGTTCCCGGATTGACGGAGGCCGGGAAGAAAGATCCTTTCAGCATCAGTGTGTACACCCTTAAGGAGCTGATACTGCGGGAGTGGCGTGACGAGTGGGATCCAAAACCGGCCAGCCCGAGCAGCATACGGTTGATCCATTTCGGAAAGCTGCTGGATGATAAAGACCAGCTTAAGCGTAAGTAAACCACGATACCCTACACACCCCAGTAGTTTCCCTCATACTGACTCATCCTGCAGAGTACCACTTCAGCGCTGAGGCGGCAAACGTCGTCCATATGACAGTTCGGCCTGCCGACATCGTCGAAGAGGAGGAGCCCAAGGGAGGTAGCAAGTCGGCCTCGGGCGGCAGCCGCAACCGCGAAGGAGGCAGCGGGTGCTGTGTAATCTTATGATCGAAACGGCCTCTCGACCACGGTGTTTTCTTCAGCATTCTCTACATCTCCAAAGATCCATTCCTTAATCGACAGGGAAGAATGACATGCATGGGAAGAAGGCGGATGGAAAGGGGGTTGGTTCGGTTTCGATACTACATGCATTTTCAGATGTGCCCCGGGCCGGCTGGTCTCGAGGCTCTCGGGTTTGGGTGTTTCAGGGTCTCTTCTTTTTTTTTTTTTTACTACTTTTCTTCTCTCTTCTTGAGTGCGTGTCCATCCGCCGACACTACCCCTCTCATCCCGAGCGTATTACAAAGAGCGAACAAGAAACGGGGGGAAACAGGAGTTGGCGTATCCATAGCTTGTATTTTTTGACTGTTCTGTCTGCTCTCGCGCCCGTCCATGGGTGGATCTGTCCATAGGATATTAGAACGAACGTATTCGGTTCCCTTCCATCCCTGGGCTGCTCTAGCAAACTCCTATGATATTGGGGGTAGTGTAAAATCTCCCCAGCCGGGGGTTCATTGCGCGTGTGTCGTAATGTTACAGTCAATCCAGCTCCCTTCTGATCCGTCTCCTCATGACGATATTCCGTCCCTAGTTCCCTCAAATCTTGAGCTTCCTCTCCATCTCATCGTGCATGCCGACGATGCCGACGCTCTCGTCGCCCGTGTACACGTCCTCCCACGTGATGCTGGCGTCCTTGCCGCGGAGGATCTCCTCGTGGACGGAGGCCTGCTGGCCGCCGAGGGCCACGGGGCGCCACTCGCCGTTCTGGGTGATCTTGAGCTCCATCTGGCGGCGGATGGGCTCGGCGGCGCCAAAGGTGCGGCGGAGCGTCTCCATGCGCATGGACTCCTGTGTGGCCTCCCAGTTCTTGAGGCGGGCCTCGAGGGGGTGGGCGGAGGAGGGGACGTTGTTGCGGGAGTCGAGGGCGGACTGGCCGACGCCTGCGCGGAGGGTGTCGTGGACACCCGGGGCCGAGGGGGCGGCGGCGCCGGCGGCGTAGGTTGTGGGCTGGTTTGCGGCGGGGACGATTCGCATCTGGAAGGGGGGTTTGTGGTTAGTTTGGCTGGTGGTTAAATGGCGGGGAGAGGGAGATAGTTGGAGTACTTACCGACATCTTGACTGGATTTGGGGAGGAGGTGATGGAGGTTGTGTGTGTGTGTAAGGGTGGTGGTTGATGCGGCTGTGATGAAGGGTGTTGGTTGGGATGCTGGGAGCTTGCGCCTACGTGATGTGCCTGGAGCTGTCCGCCTGCCGTTGCTGCTTTGGTGCTGCTGGCTGCTGGCGTGGTTGCTTCCCCGGTCGCAACCGCTTAGATAATACCATCACGTGATCTGGAGGCTGAAATGCAGGCGCGGCAGGAAGCTGCCAGAGTGCCCCTGCCTGCTTTCTCCCCCGGCCCCGGGCGAGCTGTGGAGGAAGGTGGGAAGGTACCCGCGTGGTGGGGTGCGATGACGGTCGAGCTTTCACCGAGATCGCAGCGAAGCTGTCCGCTCCATTAACTACGTACCCGCGAAATAAGAAAAAGTCCGGGAAAAGCTGCGACGTCAACTCCCCTCCCCTGAGACCTTTCGATTCAAGAGGGAGACCATGTGGAGAGGTCGTCTTCATTCCACACACTACAAGATTCTACAAGAGCAATTGACTGTGTTATAACGGCCAATTGGGGGACACATTTTTGAAATTTCACGATGAGGTTACCACCGCGCTCCTCGGCGCCGATATTGCGCATCGCCAACGGCACGTTCTACCGAAGACACCCGAACGCGCAGACAACGCATCCGAACCCGTCACTGTTCGATGAGCTGAGCTTCGAGATTCCCTCCACAACGACGGAGGGCATGAAGAAGAAGCACTGGTGCATCGTGGGGCCGTCGCTTTCGGGCAAGACGACGCTGCTGCAGGTCCTGCGGGGCCAGCACCTCGCGATCCCGCCGAGCTCGCGGTCGTACCCGTACCTGTCGAGCGATGACGTGTCGGCGCGGCTGCGGACGGCCAGCAAGGCGATACAGTACGTCGGCTTCGACGGCGAGCAGGGCGGGGGTCTTGGGGGGCCGACGACGAGCGCTTATTTGGCCGCGCGATACGAGTCGCGGCGTGAGAACACGGATTTCGGCCTGCGGGACTTTTTGCTTGGCAATTTTGAGCAGAACGCGCTAGAGCGGGAGCTGAGGCAGAAAGGGGAGGGGGAGCTCCCGCGGGGACTGTTGGAGAGGGTTGTGAAGGACCTGAGGCTGGACCAGCTGCTCGATCTGCCGGTTGCGTTTCTGAGTAACGGGCAGGGGAGGCGGGCGAGGATTGCGAGGGCGCTGTTGACGACGCCGGAGGTGCTGTTGCTGGATGAGCCATTCATGGGTCTTGACCCGCCGACTGTAGCGAGTTTGAGTCCGTTGCTGGAGGGGCTGGCAGAGAGGGAGAGCCCTAGGCTTGTGTTGAGTGTGAGGCCGCAGGACCCTATTCCTGAGTGGATTACGCATTTGGTGTATTTGAGGAGCGACTGCCAGATTGGGTCCATGGGGGAGAAGGATATTGTGCTTGAGGGGCTGAGAAAGTACGTCAGGGGCGTGTGGAAGGGTGGCTTGACGGAGGATGAGAAACTGCCTGTGCATTCACTTATTGAGATGGGAAGAACGCTGACTGCCAAGGGTGTCGTCGGCGATGGGCTTGTTGCGGCAGAGGAGAAGAAGGGCCATGGTGTTGGGCCCGTTGTCACTGAACAGGGTGTTTCTAAGGAGGTTGGAGAGCCATTAGTTGAGATGGACGGTTGCCAGGTCAGGTACGGGAGCAAGATTGCCCTCGGAAACTGGTCTCAAGACACAGAATCCGGGGCCAAGGACGGTTTGGTTTGGACAGTGAGACGAGGTGAAAGATGGGGTGTCTTTGGGCCGAACGGTTCTGGAAAGACCACCATCGTCTCTCTTCTCTGCTCCGACCACCCGCAGACGTATTCCCTCCCTATCAAGCTATTCGGCCGAAGCAGACTACCTGAGCCAGGCTCGGGACAGAGGCCGCTCACGTTCTGGGACATTCAGTCACGCATCGGTCACTCGAGCCCGGAGGTTCACCAGCACATGCCCCGTAGCTTGACGGTGCGACAGGTGCTTGAGAACGCGTGGGCAGACACCTTCAAGGCGGTGCCTAAGCTCGACGATGAGGCAAGGGGCAAGGTTGAAGCATCGCTTCGCTGGTTCGCCGCAGAATTGAATCCCGAATACCACAACACAACGGGAGATAGCCTGGCCTGGGCCGACAACTTCCTCTTCGGCGGCCTGTCCTTCACCGCGCAGCGCATTGCCCTCCTGCTCCGCGCGGTGATCAAGAACCCTGACGTGGTGGTCCTCGACGAGGCGTTCAGCGGCATGGACGACGCCGTGCGGGACAAGTGCATGCTGTTCCTGGCCAAGGGCGAGGAGAAGACGTACAGCGGGGAGGAGATCGTCGACAGCGAGGCTGCCAAGGCCGGGGAGGTGAGGGTCCGGGGCCTCTCGGACCAACAGGCGTTGATCTGCATCAGTCACATCAAGGAGGAGGTTCCGGATTGCGTGCGGGAGTGGATCTGCCTGCCCGAGGCGAACGAGGGGCTGCCGGCCAGGTTTGGACGGTTCGACGGGCCTCTGAGGACGGATGAGAAGCGTTGGAGGGCGCTCTGGGGTGTTTAGATTAAGATAAAGAGGAGTGGATCAACACGATAGAGAGAAAACAGACAACCTTAGCTGGAGGCGGAGAGTTGTTTACATACATGCTTAGACGAATGGGCGGAGACGGATACACAGAAGATCTGTCGTGCTGCATACGACATCTGCGGTGCGTCACGCAAGACGAGAGGAGAAGGACCAAAAAAGAAACAGTCCAAGCCATGGGGTCATGTTGTGTTTCTGCGAGCAATGGCCACGTTGCGCCCCAGGTGAGAGTTGACAGGTGCGGTGCAGGGCGGAGCATCGTCAAAGGACATGGGAAACACTATGGACGGCATCGCGGATGAGCCAGGTGCCCAGCTCGATCTGTTTACTTTGAGCCACTCCGCCCAGCGTTGGATGGCCGTTTTAGGCGACGGGGTCCAGCGACGCCCCCGTGGGCGCTAACCGGGCGCCTGCTAGGGAGTTCCCACAGGCGGTGCTCTGAGCCCAGTGCATCAGCAGCCCCCCCATGCAGTGTCCCGCTTTTCTGCGCCCACCGAGCCAGGAACACCGCGAATCACGGCCGGGTTGCTGGGCCAACGCGATCAAACTCCCCGATCCGCCCTGTTGCCCCTCGACAACTCACGGATGCGCTGGAGGCGTCCCATAGGTACCAACCAGACGCCAGACTCCATCCCTCCCACGAGGTCTTGCTCCCCCCCAGCTTTTTCCTGCACGTCTTTTCTGCCAGGTGGAATTCCCAGCTGCCTGCCTCTTATCATCTCACTCCATTCCCACTTTGCGGGAAAACGAAAGACGAAAAAAAGAGGCCAACTAGCTCATTTTTTGCATTCATCCGGACGTTTGTTGGCGACTCCTCTCACCGACCAGCATCGTCATCGAGATCGACTTACACGACGACCAATTGACCCCACGAACGCCGAGAATCTGCGGCCGGCAAGCTCACCACCCACGACTGAACGCCAGACTCACTCAAGACCTCCTTCGCGGCGCCCGATCCCGTTGTGAGAGAAACAAATTTATTTCACCGGCCAAACCGAGAAGGAAGACCAGCTTCATTCTCATTCCTGAGACAGTCGAGACCTTCACCCCAGTAACTGGGCGGCGCCGACCAGAACAGGCACAATGGCCCCAAATCGACCGCCCGACTACAGCCTGCCGTCCTACGATGACCGGGACGACGACGGCACTCCCACCGGGAGCTCCAGGAATCCCGCCGCCATTCGACTCTTGACTCAAGTGGAAGAACCAGACAGTCGATCAACGTATGTAGTTTCCAGCGCTCAAGTCCAGAACCCCTCCGCTTCCACCTCTTTTCCTTCGTCATCGTCTTCTTCTCTTCAGCAGGACCACAAGACGCCCGAGTCGTCGCCCAGCCTCTTTCCACGCCCGCTTTCGCTGCGCAGGAAGAAGTCGGACGGGGCTGACCCGGTGATCTCTACGCCTGAGCACATTGCGACATTGAGGCAGCAGGAGGAGGCGCAACCTCCCCCGGAGCCCATTCACCCGCCGAGAGTAAGGGGCGTGAATGTCGTCGACTTCGGTGAAGCTCAATCCGCCCCTCTGACTCCTAAGCCGGCGCGCGCTGCTACTGTCAAGCTACAGAAGAAGCGAAAGTCCGCGCAGATGAGGGACGCTGAGTTCCGGGACAGTCTCCCGACCATACCAGAAGGACTCTCGCCTCGGAGGCAGGCAATGCGCAAATCTTCAAGTGCTCCTGTTGCTCCTTTGTCAGACGACTCTCACGACAGCACAAACTCCAGCGCAGGCAGAGGCTCACACGCAGAAAACAGTATTAGGCCTGAATCCTCCCGGCGGTCTTACGCGGCTTCCTTCATGTCCGACCGCTCATCCATCCGGGACCCGCCCCGCATGCCGCCGCCCACCGACTCGACATACGTGCCCTTCCAGGGCCGCGACTACGCCCGCGAGTATGAGCGCACTTACCAGCAGGAGTACGAGAACGACTACGCCTACGAGTACCAGGCCGGCCGCCAGTCCCCGACGAGAACGTACAGCCCTTCCAGGCTTTCTTCCGAATTCACCAGACCGCCTCCTTCCGGCATCTACGAGCCCAGCGACCTCAATGGCAGCCCGCGACCCGGAACCCCGTCTTCGAGATACGGCGGAAGCCCGAGACGTCCTCTCCCGCCCGCGCCCCTGTTTTCGACTGGCGGAAACCGCAACTCGGCCGCCTTCGCAGACGACGCGACAGTCTCGATTCCCCTGCACGACTCTGACGACGTTTTCGGCCCAGAGACTGACATCAGCGAGAGCCACCCCATGAGAGAATCATACCTGTCCCAGGACCAAGTCACCCTTAGCGAGGAGGATGAGGCCGAGACCGACCTCAGCGAAAAGGTCGAGCACTACGGACCCGCCCCCGACGGCCACCAGGAGCGTAGAGGCGTGCGCGCCCCGCAGATGTCGAGGAAGGAGGTCCAGCTCATCAACGGAGAGCTCGTCCTGGAGTGCAAGATCCCGACGATCCTCTACAGCTTCCTGCCGCGCCGCGACGAGGTCGAGTTCACCCACATGCGCTACACCGCCGTCACCTGCGACCCCGACGACTTCGTCGAGCGCGGGTACAAGCTGCGCCAGTGCATTGGCAAGACGGCCCGCGAGACGGAGCTCTTCATCTGCGTCACCATGTACAACGAGAACGAGTTCGACTTCACAAGGACCATGTACGCCGTGATGAAGAATATTTCGCACTTCTGCTCGCGCAACCGCTCGCGCACCTGGGGCGACCAGGGATGGCAGAAGATCGTCGTCTGCATCGTCTCCGACGGACGTGGATCGATCCATCCGCGCACGCTCGATGCCCTCGCTGCTATGGGTGTCTACCAGCACGGCATCGCCAAGAACTTCGTCAACCAGAAGGCTGTGCAGGCCCACGTGTACGAGTACACGACGCAGGTGTCGCTCGACTCGGATCTCAAGTTCAAGGGCGCCGAGAAGGGAATCGTGCCCTGCCAGCTGATCTTCTGTCTGAAGGAAAAGAACCAGCGGAAGCTGAACTCGCATCGTTGGTTCTTCAACGCTTTTGGAAAGGCGCTCAACCCGAACGTTTGCATTTTGCTCGACGTCGGTACCAGACCTGGCGGCACGTCGCTGTACCATCTCTGGAAGGCCTTTGACAACGACTCCAACGTTGCGGGTGCCTGTGGTGAGATCAAGGCTATGAAGGGGAAGTTCGGATCGAACCTGTTAAACCCCTTGGTGGCTTCGCAGAACTTCGAGTACAAGATGTCCAACATCCTGGATAAGCCTTTGGAGTCCATCTTTGGGTACATTACCGTGCTGCCCGGTGCGCTTAGTGCGTACCGTTACCACGCCCTACAGAACGACGAGACGGGACATGGACCTCTTAGTCAGTACTTCAAGGGAGAGACGCTGCACGGTCAGCACGCAGACGTGTTCACGGCCAACATGTACCTTGCTGAGGATCGTATCCTATGCTGGGAGCTTGTGGCTAAACGTGGTGAGAGCTGGGTGTTGAAGTATGTGAAGGGCTGCCACGGTGAGACGGACGTGCCAGGTAAGAAGCTCCCCTTGCGCTGTTGGTTGACCATCACTAACGAACCCCATAGACACTGTTCCTGAGTTCATCTCGCAGAGACGTCGTTGGCTGAACGGTGCCTTCTTCGCCGCCGTCTACTCCCTCGTCCACTTCAAGCAGATCTGGTCCACCGACCACACCTTCGCCCGCAAGGTCCTTCTCCACATCGAGTTCGTCTATCAGTTCCTGCAGCTCATGTTCACCTACTTCTCCCTGGCAAACTTCTACCTCACCTTCTACTTCGTCGCCGGCGGTCTAGCCGACCCGACAGTAGACCCCTTCGGTCACAACATTGGTCTCTACATCTTCACCTTCCTCCGGTACACCTGCGTGCTGCTCATCTGCGCACAATTCATCCTCTCCCTCGGCAACCGTCCGCAAGGCGCCAAGAAACTGTACATGTTCAGCATGATCGCCTACAGCATCATCATGATTTACACGACCTTTGCCACAATCTTCATCGTCGTGCGGCAGTTCAAGGAGAAGGACAACCCGAATATCCACCTCGGCCAGAACGTCTTCACGAACCTCATCGTCTCGACCCTTTCCACCGTCGGCCTCTACTTCATCATGTCCTTCCTCTACCTCGACCCCTGGCACATGTTCACCTCAGCCGGCCAGTACTTCATGCTCCTGCCCGCCTACATCTGCACCCTCCAGGTCTACGCCTTCTGCAACACCCACGACGTCACCTGGGGCACCAAGGGCGACAACGTCATGAAGACGGACCTCGGCGGCGCCGTCGGCAAGGGCAACAGCGTCGAGCTCGAGATGCCCTCGGAGCAGCTCGATATCGACTCGGGCTACGACGAGGCGCTGCGCAACCTCCGCGACCGCGTCGAGGTCCCCGCCAAGTCCCTCTCCGAGGCCCAGATGCAGGAGGACTACTACAAGAGCGTGCGCACGTACATGGTGCTCTCGTGGCTCATCGCCAACGCCATCCTCGCCATGGCCGTCTCCGAGGCCTACAGCGAGCGCGGCATCGGCGACAACTTTTACCTGGCGTTCATCCTGTGGGCCGTCGCCGTGCTCGCCGTCTTCCGCGCGCTCGGCAGCGGCACGTACGCCGTGCTCAACCTCGTCAGCATCATCGTGCACAGCGAGGGCCGGCTGAGTCTCAAGATGCCCAAGTGGATGGGCGGCTTCGGCGAGAAGGTCAGCGAGAAGATGAGCAGCCTGTCGAGCAGCGTCGGGGGCAGCAGTGTGGGCGGGAGCAGGCTGAGCGGGACGAGGTTGAGCGGGACCAGCCGCTTTACGAACCCGTTCCGTCGTTGAGGGAGGCGGGGCGTTCGTCCCTTCTCCATACTTCTTCCTCCACACCTCCTGCTGAAAGGGAGGTCACGACTCGACGAAACGAAATATGTGTCTTGCAGCCTTGGCGTTTTACGGTTTTCCCATTCATCCCCCTACCCCCATTTCCTCGACCTTTTTCCTTTTGAAAGAATAAAGGACTGCAAGA